GCAACTGTCTTCAGTAATTTCAATAATTTCTTCTTTACTTTAAAGAAAAATCCCTTTTTTAACTTCTTCCAGGCTGTCTGTAATATAACCCTTACTGATGTGGGCTCCGCTACCAGGTCGAACTGTGTCTCGAAGCACCGAGTTGACCTACCAGTAAAGGCTTAGATATTCTCCAGCTGGAGTTCTTTGGTCTTTAGGGCTGTTTTCCTGGAAATCTTTGGAGACTCTTAAGACTGTTTCCCCCCAGAAAGTCTTAAGGGTTGAAGCTTTTGTACAGGGGAAGCTTGCACACATCCTGTACATTAGCTTTCCTTGCAGAGACTAACTAAAAATGGCTCTCTTCCTTTCCCAATGGCCCTCAGCAAGGGACAGGCCCAAAACTTAATGATGATGGACAGGTGACTTGCCCTATGACTGCAACCAAAGAAGCCACCTATCTGCAGAGTCCCTGAAACCTTGGACTGCAAGCAAACATTTAATACAAAGCAAATAAAGTTGGACCTCCTGGTACAGCCGTACCAGAACAGTAACACATCTGGGTGTCCCCTGGGCAACGTTCTTCCAGACGGCCAATTCTCTCACACCAGAAGTGACTTGCAGTATATTCCCAATTTGCTTCTCACATGCTAAAAAAACCAAAACATTCCCATGACTCAGGTTAAGAGAACATTTGCCATCGTTGCTGCAGTTCCACGCTGCTGGCTCATGTTCAACAATAATCCCAAAGTCTTTTCCCCCATGCAGTACAGATGAGCAAAGCATCTCACATCCTACACCTGAGCATTTGAATTTTGTGGCTTGTTTTACTAATTTCAGGGCAGTTTCCCTCTCCCAGCCTTGTGTCATCTGTAAATTTGATAATTATTTCTTTTACCACATCTGCAGTATTGTTCGTACCAACATGACTAATAAGAAATGGGTATTACTTTGTATTCTTGTTGAGTTTTGGCAACTTGCCAGTGATATCCTGAATAATAGGAAGATAGCACACTTATCAATTCATTTTGTCCTGATAACGCACAGTCCCCTACCACCAGCATCTTTCTTTCTTCTTGCTGCAGTTAGTGCTTAGGTTGGTTGTCCAAAGAGACAGTCCACAGGCCAGAGATCACCAACAGCCAATGTCACAGCTCCAAGCACTGAAGTTGCTGCCAGCAACAAGGTAATAAATAATAAATAAAACTTTATTTATATACTGCTCTATCTCCCCGAGGAGACTCAGGGCGGTTTCCAAGTAACAACATCAGAACATACGGAGTCACAACATAAGCAAAAATAACAATAACAACATAAGCATAGAATCATCCCCAAGGGCGGCTCAACCCATTACGCAAAGTAAGCATTTGCAGTATAGTTGATTTTGCCCAGGGGTGCTCTTGAGGTGCTCTTTGGGGAAAATAGAGCTTGACATATGTGAGTTGTATTTACTGGGATATATAATTCACCTACAATCAAAGAGCATTCTGAACTCCACCAATGATGGAATTGAACTAAATATGGCACATAGAACTCCCACGACGAGCAGAAAATATATATCAGTGATTGGTTGGGGTGGGGGGCAAAATACTGTTTGCTTACCATTGAAAATTACCTAGGGCCGCCTCTGATCATCCCAATAACACAAAGAAATCCTGCATGTTCTTCATGCCTTTTTGTTAGGGCATGGGAAGGAATGGGTCAGGACAATTAAAAAGGTCAGGCCAAGACTGGTACAAAATCAAAATAAGATGGGCCTGGAATTTGGGTACAATACTGTAATAGGCTAACAACAATATTGGGAACGGGTCTGTGGCTGTTCATTTCCAGGGGCGTGTGGAAGAATGACCGGGGTAATAGGTAGAGGGTGCAAGGCCATATCCAAACAATGTCTGGGCTGGGCTAGCACTGGTCACTCTCAAAGGGTTGTTGAAACCACCAGGTCTTCAAACTCTTACGAAAAGAAGGGAGGGATGGGGCCTGTCTTATTTCCCTTGGAAGGGCATTCTAGAGGCGGGGGGCCACTATCGAGAAGGCCCTCTCTCCCGTCCCCACCAACCGTGCTTGTGATGGTGGTGGGAGCGAGAGGAGGGCCTCCCTGGAGGATTTTTAGAGTACACCACACTTATTTATTTGCTTTATTTCTATATCGCATTTTTCAGCCCAAACAGGCGACTCAATGCGGTTAAGCACCTTTTATGTTAGCTTCTCGGGTGTTGCCTATTGAGAGCCCATTTCTCCACTAAACTGGAGGACCTGCGAAATTGAACCTTCTCCCTTCACAGATACAAAAGAACCAGAACACATAATCCTTCCCTTGCCTGATCAAATGACCTCGCTTGTGCTTCCTCTGCAGAATGGGAAGTGGTAGCTTCCTCCATAGTCTCTTCTTCTAAGCTCAGTTGAGGTAGCTGTTGGGCTCCAGCTGCAATGCTGGCCCTTCGGTCATCACCTCCTCACCCTCATTGTCAGAGCTATTAATGACAGGTTCCTTTCCTGGCCTGCAGTCTCTCTTGCTAAGGGTCTCTTTGCGCCTTTTTGGCATTGTTATTTCCTGGAAATGGCTGCTTAACTAGAGCTGTTCTGAATCTTTTGTGCATGGCCTGCCCCTTAGTTATTATTAAAACGATGTTTGTTTATTTATTTATCTGCTACATAACTGTGGTCATAACACATTTTTATACTGAGCATGTTTTAGCTGGATTTGGTTTGCTGTGGGCCTTCAACAGACGCTCCCATTGTTCTTTCTGCATTTTGAGAATGTTAACTGTGTTATTCATACTGCATTCCTTCAACCCACAAGCTACAAATCATCTATCTCTGCACTCTTAGGGTGGTCAGCATTTTTTTCTTTTCCCTAATATGCTACTATATAATAATTCTTCCATTCTATGATAGAGATACTTAAGGAGGGGTCACTTTGAAGTAGGTCTTCGGGAGGTCACGGAGTGTTTACTCTCTGTCTAGCTTAACTTTTATCAAGGTCCTGGAAGCAGTATAAGTTTATTATATCCTAGAATGTCCTTAGAGAAAAAAGCAAGTTTGAGTGGGTTAAGTGTATAGTATTAAGATAATAAGTGGCGTTCATCTGGTTTTCTAACCATATTGTTGTTATTTACACTCATTGGGTTTTAATGCCATTCTATTGTGAGTCATGTCAAAAGACCCAGACTTTGGATTCCTTTCTCATATTTTGAGTCTATCATGGTGAAAGTGAGACATCTAGGGACAGTGATGTTTTTTCTTAAAATACAGTGTTTTGAAAAGAGCTTGATGAGAGCCAATTATATAAGATGGTGTACTGCAGTGGTTCCCAACCTTTTTTTGACCAGGGACCATTCTCCAGCATTAGTACCAAAAGGTTACAAATCGGTTTTTGATCAACTTTAGATTTAGTTTGGTTATTTAGGGTGCTGATTCAGAAAATTGCATTGAATAGACCACATCAGCTCTAGTTTCTGATACAGAACATATGTCATCCAGTACTCACCATCTGCTGGTGATGGTGAGTACTGGGGGGGGGGGGGCTTGAGGGGCTTCAGCTCCCACCCCGAAATTATCATGGTGGTTTGCGAAAAGGCCTTACTGGTGCGTTATTTAAACTGTTATGTTTATTCATATCATGATCTGATCACCATACTCAATATATCCCATATGCATGGGGGTATTGGGGTAATGATACAAAAGGTTTGCTAGGCTAGACCCTCTTTCACTCAGACTCAGCCCCCCCCCGAAACACAACCCCCCCCCCCCCCCCCGAATCGAAATCCTGGCTACGGGCCTGCTTGGCACTATAAGAGGGTTTTGTGAGACCAGTCACTCTTATTGCAGCGGTGTAGTAACAGTGAGGTCATGGACCATATTTTAGTTCTTGTGGACGACAGGTTGCGAACCACTGTTGTAGTGGTTTAAGTATTGAGTTAGGACACTGTGAGCCCAGGTTTCAAATTCCTGCTCATGCATGGAAATGCATTGAGTGACTTTGGACAAATCATATTCTCTCAGCCTTAGAAAAAGGCAAAAGTTGGCCTCTTCTGAACAAGTCATGCCTATGATAGATATGCTAAATAAAGAAACGTTAAAAAAAATAAACAGCATAGAATTTCCAAAGAAGTATAAAACAACAGCCCCCAATGGTGCAGTGGGTTAAACCATTGAGCTGCTGAACTTGCTGACCAAAAGACTGTGGTTTGAATCCAGGGAGCAAGGTGGGCTCCTGCTGTTAGGTCCAGCTTCTGTCAACGTAGCAGTTCAAAAACATGCAAAAGTGAGTAGATCAATAGGAAGGTAACTGCACTCCATGCAGTCGTACCGGCCACATGACCTTGGAGGCATCTATGGATAATGCCGGCTTTTCAGCTTAGAAATGGAGGTGAGCAACCCCCCCCCCCCCCGAGATGGACATGACTAGACTTAATGTCAGGGGAAACCTTTACCAAGAAAAAAAAATCTCAGGAAACAAGTATGGTATGATTTCTCTCTGCTGGGCTAGCTGGACCAACAGAACCCCCCGGCCATTTATCTTTATTTTCTTCAAGTAAGATGGTGGTGGAAAGGTGAATTTTAGAAGATCTGTGAGCCTTTTGTGTTGTTTTCTAAACCATCATTTCCAGGCCCTGGCAACTTTCCATGCAGTCCTTAAACCAGATTTCGGTGGGTTTGGAAATGTTCCCCAGTCTTAAGAGCGTGGAGTGGAAAGTGCCTCTTCGCTTCGAGCCACAGTTGTTCCTCTGTTTTCTTCTTTGCCAGCCAACAAGTGTGACTGAGTTGCAGTAAGTGTGGCAAAAGCTGTGTGTGATGGAATCCATCTGCACACAAGGGCTCTGTAGCTCCACTGCCTGAGTTTATATGGCCAGTGCCATGAGTCTCCTGGTACACTGCCTTCATTGCAGAATCGCAATCCAAGTGACCTCACAGAGCTCAGCTGGATCCAGAAGTGACAGAGACATTTGGTCATGGTGAACATGACAGGGGAGCCATTCAGCATCCTAGAGACAATAAAGGAGTTGCGTGCCATGGCTTTTACCACCACTACCACCGCCCCTTCTCTTCCCCCACTCTCCAAGTTGATGCCAAGGCAAGAGTCCCACATCACACAGATGAATAGCCGGTCTGTTCCAGCAGCTGTGCTTTCCCTCCCACCGGGCAAAGGCACTGGAGAATCCAGAAAGCGGCAGACTTGATCTCTTCTACAGGCTCAAGAGGACTGAAAAGAAAACCCGGGAGGCCAAAGGATGGGATCAGAAGGGGAGATGATCAACCTTCATGTGAGTCCCTTTTGACTGTACCAAGAGGATGGGATGGAGTAGATGGAGAAGAGGAACAATGACCTAGTAGTCTCCTGTCAGACATTAATTTCTTTTAATTTACTCATCCTAAAGCAGTGGTTATCAACCTGGGGTCCCCAGATGTTTTTTGCCTACAACTCCCAGAAATCCCAGTCAGTTCACCAGCTGTTAGGATTTCTGGGAGTTGAAGGTCAAAAACATCTGGGGACCCCAGGTTGAGAACCACTGTAGTTTTCCTCACTCCTTTTGCTCTTTTACTGGAGTCAGATCTGATCACAGGAGATGCCATTCTTCTCTCCAGAAGCAGTCAGATAATTGATGGACAGCAGACTCAATGCTATGTTTTTTACAGTATGCGTTTGTGCACTTTAGATGGTGATGTGCATTAGTTCGCTTATATCAAAAAGCAGGATGCCAGTCTTGGTGTCTTTGGCAACTTTTCTGCTTGTTCTCCAGGAGTTGGGCCCTGAATGTGCCTACCTAAGTCCTCACCCATTGGTACCACTTTCTCCCTTCCTCATTAAGGAGCTGATGAGCTTCTTTTGATAGCGAAGGGGTGTTGGCCTGTGCAGGCGTCCTTGGAAAGAACTTTTCTTAAGAGAAGTGCCTCTTTTTACAAGCTGGAACACGTTCTTCCAGCTCTGCCCTTCCTCACAAAAACTCTTCTGTGCTTGATTAGAAAACATTCCCATCCCAAGGCATGGGGAAAAAGAAATAAACGCAGCAGATGCTGAGTGAGAGTCTAAAAGACACAAGTTCCTACCTGGGGTTCCTAGAGAAACAAAACCCAATCGATCCAGTCTTTTCAGGCTCCTCACTGTTTGTTTGCTGAGGAGTGCTGCTTCCTAGACCTTGGTGCCTCTTGAAAAAGCAGCTTATTGCAGATGGACTGAATTAAAAAAAATAAATGACATCAAAAACGATATTGGAAAAGAACTGACTAAAAGAGGGGAAAGGAAGGTTCAGTTTAAGAGCTTTAACTTTGGTGTGGGAGGATGAGGTTACACCACAGAAAGATTTTTGACAGATGTTGATGTAGTACATGTAGAAGGGAGATCTGAAGCAATTGAAAAAATACAGAGGGACCTTGATGTCCACTTGGGGTTTTATTCCAGGACCTCCCATGGAAACCAAAACTTGTGGATGCTCATGACCCATGATATACAATAGTCCAGTAAAATGGGATCCCTTGCTTTAAATGGCAAAACCAAGATTTGCTTTTAGGATTTAAATACAAGGAAGACATGCACTGGCCAGGTTGTCCTAGTGTCTGCCACATTTTGGTGTCATTTGTTGAAGGCTTTTTACCCACCTTGCCACTCCCTGCAAGCCTCTTGAAGACTTTGATGACACTGTCATGCTGTATGACCCCTGGCACATTCAATCTTTATCCAACTCCGTTGTTCTTGTTTCGAAAACATCATGACAACACTTACTTTAGACCGCAAGCTAATACAAGGCTCAGTTCTTTGTGTCACTCCACATGCGCGTGACGTAGGAAGGGTGGGTCTTTTTGCACAAAGGTAAGGTAGGTATGTAACTAACGTGTGGTATATATGACATTCTTTGGTTTTGTTGTGAGGCATCTTTACAGCAGTTTTGCCACTATTATATTCAAGCCATGGATGGTTGAATCTGTGAATACAGAATTCATGGACATGGATGACTGATTATAATGTTTAGATATCCTGGCAGATTTTTTTTTTACTCCCTTGATGGAGGCTCCAGAATACATAGTGAGCAGAAGTATCTCAAGTTAACCACAATTCATAAAAGTAGGCATGGGCAAACAGCCTGTTAGGAATTGTGGAAGTTGAAGTGCAAAACACCTGGAGGGACAAAGTATGCCCATGCCTGGATAAAAGTATATTTTTGGTACATCAATTTGTTTTTGCTTTTTTTTTTTTGAGGTAATAGATATGAGAGCCTTCAACCTTCTCATGGAAGAATATGGCCCCCATCACTACATGGCCTTCTGGCTGTGGATGATGGGAATTATAGTCAAAACATTTGGGAGGTGCCAGGTAGGGAAAGATTGGAAAATGGAAACCTCACAATGATAGAGCTGTCCTTTTTCCTTTCTTGCAGGGAAAGCAGAAACATAGGTGAATTACCAGTATTGTTTGTACGTAATTAGAGTGTAGAGTTGCACGTAATTAGAGTGGAGATGTATGATGGTAAGAAAAATTGTGACTAGTTATGTAATAATTGTTCAAGTATGTTTTTATGATTATTATGTTTAATGTTTTATTTATTTGTTTTCATTGTTATAATTGAATTAAAAATGGAAAAAAGAAAGATATCCAATGTTACACTTTTAGGGAACTAAATGCAACAGGCTAATACAACGTGAGCTTCTGGCAAAACAAGAGTAATTAACCTAGGACATTGTAGCAATTTAAAATAAAAAGCTTTGTTTCTGGAAATCCACCTAAGGACTGGGAAAGAGATAAATGAGATTTGGTTACAAGAGCTACACGAGCTGGCTTCCTTCCTACCTTTTGAGGTCATTTCAAGATAGTCTCTTTGTTCGCTTTCTCTGAGAAAGGTGTACTGAGACTACTCCCATATTCCCATATATACATGAGAGTCGTCTTAGTATACCTTTCTCAGACAAAAGGAACAAGCAGTAACCTCAAAAGATAGGGAGGAAGCAACTATAAGTGTAGCAATCTTCAGAGCTCTAATTGTTTATCTGCCTGTTCTTCTTCTAAGCTCATGTTGGCTACTGTGGGAAAGAACATGCTGAATTAGATGGTCCTATAACTCAAAATGAGCCTCATTTGGTTAAGCGAGGCAGGATTTTCTGGTAGCAAATGCTGGAAATGGTGTTAGACAGTTCCATAAATATCACAAGGTCTAAGCTACACTTGTGTAGCCATGCACACCAACTGTCCTGAACTGTTTACTAGGGTGGGAGGAAGTCTTGACCTTCTCAGCAGACTTGGGCAAAAAGCAAATTATTGCAATCTTCCTTAGCTTTGTGTGTTGCTCCTTATTTGTAACCTTTCCCATCTTTACTAGACCCAAATATTGCTTGGCTACCCATGTTTTGGTTTTCCTTTGTGAAATGTTGGAGAGAATGCCCAAGACAGCCTGCATGCTCAAGTGAAGTAGAAAACATCCTCCTGTTACAGTGTTTTCAGCATTTGGTTCTTTCTTTTGTGTTAAAAATACATTGCAGTCTGCTTAGTGAGTGCTTTTTACTCAGAAAATGAGGCAGAAAACTGTTGCATAAATAAACACTGCTGGACAGATCCCATTCTGGATGTGGTTAGTTTGTCATTTTGTCCCTCACATCAGTCACTCAAATCCTTTGAGCTACTCTTGTTAGAGATGGCATGGTATAGTATAGTAGATAGAGCAGGCATGGGCAAACTTTGGCCCTCCAGGTGTTTTGGACTTCAACTCCCACAATTCCTAACAGTCTACTGGAGGGCTGAAGTTTGCCTACACCTAGGATCAAGTGTTGAACTATGTCTCTGGAGACCAGGGGTTGAATCGTTTATTGACCATGGAATATTGTGTCCAATTCTGGGCACCACAATTGAAGAGAGATATTTACAAGCTGGAATGTGTCCAGAGGAGGGCGACTAAAATGATCAAGGGTCTGGAGAACAAGCCCTATGAAGAGGCTTAAGGAGCTGGGCATGTTTAGCCTGAAGAAGAGAAGGCTGAGAGGAGACATGATAGCCATGTATAAATGAGAGGAAGCCACAGGGAGGAGGGAGCAAGCTTGTTTTCTGCTTCCCTGGAGACTAGGACGTGGAACAATGGTTTCAAACTACAAGAAAGGAGATTCCATCTGAACATGAGGAAGAACTTCCTGACTGTGAGAGCCGTTCAGCAGTGGAACTCTCTGCCCCCGAGTGTGGTGGAGGCTCCTTCTTTGGAAGCTTTTAAACAGAGGCTGGATGGCCATCTGTCAGGGGTTGCTTTGAATGCAATATTCCTGCTTCTTGGCAGGGGGTTGGACTGGATGGCCCATGAGGTCCTTCCTCCAAGTCATGCATTTATTCTCTAGTGCAGTGGTTCTCAACCTGTGCGTCCCCAGATGTTTTGGCCTCCAACTCCCAGAAATCCTAACAGCTGGTAAACTAGCTGGGATTCCTAGGAGTTGAAACACCTGGGGACCCACAGGTTGAGAACCACTGTCTTAGACAAATCACCTCTGAGCAAGGCAAACCCCCTCTGATCAAATCTTGCCAAGATAACCCTGTGACGGGCTCCCCTTAAGCTGACCATAAGTCAGAAAGGACTTAAAGGCATACAACAAGAGCCACAACAAGTCTTATTGGTCTGAAAGGTGAATCTGTGAAATCTCGTTTCTCCTTCAAAGCCCAGCTTTTCTAATAGAATCTTCCAAAACATAATCTTGCAGTAACTCCTTCTAGTCTATTATGACATTGTATCAGTCTGAATGGTGCCATGCTTGGTATGTTAGGCTAAGACTTTGGGAGACCAGGGTTCTGGTCTCTGCTTGGACACTGAAACCAATTGAGTGAGCACGTCATACTTGCTTAGCTTAGAGGAAAGTCAAGACAAACTTTATTTGAATAAATCTTGCCAAGAAAATTCTGTTATAACATTGTCATTAGTTGAAGTGAACCTGAAGACACTAAACAAGAAGAAATCTAAATCAAACAAATCCAGTTCTATTGACTTGCTTCTTATGTACCAGGCACAGGCAAACTTCAGCCTTCCAGGTGTTTTGGACTTCAACTCCCACAATTCCTAACAGTCTGTTAGGAATTGTGGGAGTTGAAGTCCAAAACACCTGAAGGGCTGAAGTTTGCATATGCATGTTATATACAGTATTTAGAACCATGAGGATATTGGTGTAGTGCTGACTCCCCATTTGAAATATTGCTCTAAGTAGAATCAGTATTCTTCTGCAAAAGTCTCAGAAATTTCTATGGAAGGTGAATCTGGGAGAAACATTTCTTTTCAAACAGAGACGAAAAGTATTAAAATTCAGT